GTATAAAAACACGTTAACAATTCTTGTTAACCATAAACGGACCCTTAGTAAAGAAAATTTTCTATTTTATAGTTTCGAGCAATATTTTTTTTAATATAGAAGTTTGCGTTGCGTCATAGCGCCCTCTCACTTGTACAATCTGCTTTTGGACGCCATGTAGGCATTTCCTGCCTGCTCGCTGCATTGTTCTTGTTCTTGATGTGTCTCTTTGCGTGATATTTTTTTGAATTAGCCTGTTATTACTTTTATAATTGAACACAATTTTTGGCATGAGCGCTGGGCCGCGCGCGCGGCGACTACTCAGAGAGCAAGGTGTCCATTGTTGCTCTGGTACCCGGGCGTGGGTATGGAGCTGCTCAACAGGTGGTGTTGAACAATGACGTAAGACGCAAAACGCCGGGTAGCGCCGACGCGATCGCTGTGCAAGTTCAAATAATTTAGAAAACGCCTGTCTGCTAGGCCAAAACCTATGCAGGCGTGTAATGCAGGCGGTCTAACTGACATTACGACAGGCGCACCCTTTTAACTTCTTTTTCCAAAAAATCCCAGTGGAGCGTTGGCGTTACTCGGCGTTTGAACCGATTTTGGTCTGAGCATGATAATGCCCTGAAACCAGAAAAAAATAACATCGAAAACACAAAGCTGTTGAGTCAAATGCGATATGGGCTGCCGCGACACTTACGCCCCTGTAGAGTACGCAGTTGCTGTGACACCGGATTCTCCTCAGCAGCTGAGAAAAATGTTCCAAAGGGTCTCACCGTGGTTCCTAGGCGCACCAGTCGCGCTCAGCTGGTGATCGACACGGTGGACGGTGGTCTCTCTGGCGGCCGCTTCAAGTTTCCAACTTTAAATGCGATCCGGGCCGGGAAAACGTTGTGTGGTGGCGCCCAGATTTTGCACATAGTCGTTGCGAGGTCAATACGAGTTTTAGAATGTGCAAATTCATTCATTCATTCATTCATTCATTCATTCATTCATTCATTCATTCATTCATTCATTCATTCATTCATTCATTCATTCATTCATGCATTCATTCATTCATTCATTCATTCATTCATTCATTCATTTGCGGCCATTGCGATCCGCACCAGCCTCTGAAGACACATAGACGACAAGCAGCCACACAATATCCTGTGAATGTTTCTCGTTTGTGTGTTTTGTGAGCGGCTAGTCCGGCTCGCAACGGCCGCAAAGCAATTCAAACCGAACCTACCCATCCGGACGACAATTCGGACGGACCCCAGTAACTTAAGGTTTTTGCGTAACAGTTGCATCGAGGAACTTGTCCACCCACGCCCCACGCCTTACGTTACGTTATTCTAACGTAACTTAACTACAGACGTAGTGTTAAACGTTATCTAAGTTTTCACAAAACCGTAAATCGAATTAGTGCAGCGTTCTCAGTGTACAACGCTTGGTAATTCTCTTTTGAAAGTAAACCATAAAATATTTTGTGCTCGTTTTGTGTAACATAGTTCTTTTACCGTTATTGTAACGTAACAAATAAAAACGCATATTAGTTACAATAACACGTAACGTGGTAAACGTAACGCTAAACGCAAAATTGGAACGCAGTTCAGAGTTAAGTTACTAGTCCCTGGCTGTTGTATTTTCTAATCACTCATACATTCATTCCATTTATTCGTTCCATTCATTGATTTATTCCATCCATCCACGCCACGCTTGTATTTCCGTTAAAAGGGGAATAAGAAGAGCGGGTAGAATATAAACGTCTCCGATTGGTCGAGCGAGAGATTCCCGCCTTCACGTCATACGTCACGTCAGTACGGGGGGGGGGGGGGCGGGGGGAGGTTCGACGAATAAGAAACCTATGTTCCGCCCGCTATTCTTCTTCCTCCGCGTTACCCGAAATACACTATTAACTAATTCGCATTCTTCACTCACAAGTCGAAGTGACGCAACGCGTGCGACCTCCACACATCCGGACGTAACTGGGGAGGGGAAGAGTTATCAACGCGCGCCCTTTCGATCGAGATCTCGACCGTGTGTTCGATTCGGGGCATCCGCATTCTAAATATGTGCCGCGGCGCTCTGAGTCTGATTGTTCTGATGCGCTCCTTAAAATTAAATGGGGGAGCGCGAGGTACCCGTGATTAATCGTAAAGTGCGTCTCTGATGCTACGACTGATTTCATAATATAACGCGTACATATCATATGGATCCGCTCATACGATAATAATGTTAAACATTGTTCATAATAATAATAATTCTTCATTCTCCAGCCGTACCTATAGCTCCGTTCATATGACCTGTACGACGTTGGGCTAGGACGTGCGTCTCTGATGCTGTTGCTCACCGAATGTCGATAATTCCCTCGCCGTTGTCGATCACCTTGTTGTCCGGGCTGCAGAGGAAGTACGGAACGCACTGACAGTCCAGGTCGCCCTCGAGTGCGCCGCCGGTGGTGTCCGCGCCGTTGGCCGAGGCGGGCTCCAGCGGCTCCAGCTCCTGCGCCAGGCCCTCGGGCAGGCCCGCGCCCAGGAGCAGGGCCGCCGCGGCCCAGAGCAGCGCGCGCCTCATCGCAGAGCCCGAGGGGGGCGGCGCCGGCGGGGCCGGCGAGGCGTTCGCCAGGACGACACAAGCAGACGACGCGATCTGGGAACCGAGCGCGGCAGCGCGGCACAACCACGGTCTGGCTGCGTACAAGTTCGCCTATCTCCGCTCCGCTCAGCTCGGCGTCCCGGCCCGACAGCTACTGACGGGCGCGCGTCTTTGTTGGCGATGACTCGCGGGTCGACCCGGCGGCACCCGGCACTCGGCCGCTGGCCGGCCGGACCCGGCCGGACCCAGCCCAGCCGCGCACCTCCAGTACTAGGAAGCGGCCTGGGTGGGGGGACTGTTTGGGCGGGCGGGAGATAGAGAGGTAGTGCCATAGATTTCCTCTTTACCCTTCACGTCTACATTTGCTGAAAAATTCTGTATCTACGCTTGGTTTCTGGTCCGTCGACAACTCATCCCTGTTCTGTAGCGCATTCTGTGTGGCTGAGTGAGCCACAAGCTCGCAGAACAGCCGGGTTTGATCCCGGGTATATAGTCCAAAAAAAACTCTTTCCCCTCTTATCCCCCATTCATTGCTTCGTCTCGTCTCCGTCTCTTCCCCGTTTCGTCTCTCATAGGAGACGAGTGTTTGACGAAAAAGCGGTAAAAAGTTTTTCACGGGTCACTTCATTCGTTTCCCACGCGGCCAACCGTAGCCGTTTACTCTGCACCAAAACAAATCGTCTTAAAAATAATTTTAAATTATTTTGAAAGATTTGTTTGTTACTCCTACTTAGCTTGAGGGGATGACAAAGAAATCCACGATGATGAACGTTACTACTACTACTACTACTAACTATTCCTTCTATTTAGTGAAAAGGATTTAACGAATCACCTGCTATAAATAGCCACGATATTATACTATTTAATTAGTTTTTTCACTGTGGTGTTGGAGCGCTGTCCCGGCCGTCTGCTGGCGGGGAGAGGGGGAGATGAGAGGGAATCGTGATTATTTTACTTTTCCACTCCCATTCTTTTTTTTCCCTGTGTTATGGTTGTCTACCGTCATTATCAAGCATGGCTGGCCTGGCGCAAAATGGGAATTCTACATACAACAGCGGCATAGCCGAGGGAGGCGGCAGCAGGCGGCAGCAGTGCAGATGCGAGGCGCCATCAGGCACCAACAGGTGATTAGCGGCTGACTACCTTTGCGATACGGTGCATTTCTACATGCGTCCACCAGACCCGCGACCCGCAGCCCTCCACCCCTCCCCTAACAACAACAACAACAACAACAACAACAACAACAACAACAACAACAACAACAACAACAACAACAACAACAACAGTAACAACAACAACAACAACAACGACGACGACGACAAATCAATTGAGCGGCACTAGATTAAACACACAGAGATTTGGGCCAGGAGCACAGCAAAACATGTGAGGGGAAAATGTTACGGAAAAATAAACGAAAATAAGAGAAAATAAACAGTAAACCAGCACTAATAAGCCAGTAGCGGGCCACATGCACGATAAAGTGATAAAATGCTCATAAAACGGGACGCGGAGGGGTGAATGAAGCGTCCTGTGTCGTCCTGGGAGCCCCTGCATACCGTAGGGTAGGCCGACCCGCACTGCGCGGGTGCGCGCCATGGACTCTGTGGCCTATGCTGCAGGGGCGCGGCCGCCTGCAGCCGAGCATCCTTAAGGCGTGGCGGTCGCAGTCGGGTCGCTGCGGTCGCTCCCCTCTTCGGGTCAGGGCCCCACTCTCCTCCCCTCTCCTTTGTTTATTTGTGATATTATCATGTAGCTTCGTAACCCTCTCGCGTCGCGCTCAACGCTCGTCAAAATGGTGAGATAAAACTGATCTGATTATCGGAGAAAAAAAAAAGAAATAATGCATAACCGTGACACAGTCCCCGACTCGAAACGCATGGCCCAAGGGAGGAAATAGGGGGGGGGGCGGGGCTTTCCTAGTGACCGCGTTGGGGTCCATATACGACCAGTATAGACTGTCGGGAAGAGCGCGCTCAGCCGTGAAATCCATCCGAATCAAAACACCGCAATTAGAAACCGCAAACAGCAAAGAGAGGGGGGTGGAGCTGGGTCGAGAAGGTGCACAGGAGGTATTTTCCACGAAGACCAGCAGAATCTCGACGCATATACTCGGTGAGAGTCGGAAGCCACCACGAACGCCTAAAACATCGAGGCTCCGCTCCGCGTCGACCTACGGCGCCTCGTGCCTCCGCGGCTCGGTGGTCGTGGTGGTGGTGGAGGAGGGGGGGGGGGGCGGGGTTCACCACAAGCATTACACGAGCACATCAACAGTCGTGACGGGCTGTACTCGTTGTTCTGCACTTGCCCCGCTCGCTGCGGCTCCTGCTTGACCTTGGGCCGACGGCTAGCCGGCGCGGGCCCCCGGGCGCACAGGAGCATGACTGGCCCGGCCAACGAAAATCTTGCGTCTTCCGGCCGTAAACGACTCCGAGTTGCATCAAAATCTCTGGATGGAATGTGATGGTTAATACTAACGCACTTGCATTTTGTTCGGTTTTCCAGTACGCGATGGTGTTCGACGCGGGCTCGACGCACACCACAATGGTGGTCTACAAGTGGCAGGCCAACAAGTTCAACGGCACGGGGGTGGTGTCGCAGGTCGCCTCGTGCGACATGAGTGGTGAGCACGGCCGAATGGAGTACAAGCCGATATGGCTGAAAGTATTTTAAAAAATCACTTATAAACGCTGCCGGTCTGGACTTGTAGGAGGCATCGGTGTGGTCCTGCGCGCAGACCCGCGCGCGGCCGCGGACGGCTACTTCAGGGACTGCGTGGCCGCGGGGCTCGACAGCGTCCCCGAGGGAAGGCGTGGCCACAGCCCCGTGACCCTGGCCGCCACCGCAGGCATGCGGCTCCTGCGGTAGGTCATGACGTGGCCATGAGGAAGGCTCCCTCTTTCGTGTTGTTTGAAGTGGTTTGAAATAAGCCAACCCCCGTCTGTCTCCTGTACGCAGGAGTGAGAGCCCGGACGAGGCGCAGCAGGTGCTGGGCAACGTGTCTCGGGCTCTGGAGCGGGCCGCGACCGGGATGTTGTTCAGCGTCAACAGTGTCAGGATAATTACGGGACAGGAGGAGGCGGTGGCTGGCTGGATCTCGGCCAACTACCTGTTGAAGACCATCTTCCCAGTGAGTGCTAAGTACCAGTTGCTCCTACCGGTAACGGCAGGGCCCCTGCTCCCCTTCCGCTCTCACCGTCTGTCTCCCTGGACGTGCCCAGAAGCCGACCAAGCTCGTGGGGATGCTGGACATGGGTGGTGCATCTACGCAGATAACTTTCCTGCACCACAACAACCAGTCCGCGCCCCAGTCCGCCTCTGTGTACGACACGTCGCTGCAGCTGTACGGCGCACGCCACGAGCTCTACGCGCGCAGCTACATGTGCTACGGTCAAGAGCAGCTGCTTAATCGTTACCTAGTGGTGTTGGTTCAGGTATGCGCGTCCACCCGCGTCTCGCCCCCCCCCCCCTTTACACAACTCAAACATCCGTTCCCTCCAGGATCACTTCCCTAGGGACACGGACAGCCTAAGAACTCTCCGGGTTGGCAGCCCCTGCCATAACGCAGGATTCAACTACTCGGTCGGCTACAACGACTACGTGAATGTGTGCTCAGAGACCAGCTATACAAACAAGGTGAGCCGTTAAAACTTCAGTCTTGACATTTCGGTCTTGTTGAAAAAGTCAATTACACAGAAATATCAAAGCAAAGAGGAACCTCTTGTAGTTTAGGAATGTTACAGTTAAGGTAGAAGGAGAAAGTAACCCAGATCAATGCAAACAAAGGATCCAGTCTTTGCTCAATCCGGATGACTGCAATGCAACTTTCAGCAACAAAGAATGTTTTGCTGTTCCCACAAACCACCCTCCTGACACTAATTTTGTGGTAAGCACTGACTCTCTTCGTGTTCTTCAAGTTAGAACCATTCTCACCCACATTTCCTACATGTTTGTTTGTAGGCTGTTTCCGGGTTTTATTACGTTATGCAATACCTGGAGTTTGCCAAGAAACATCCTCCCCTTAAGGACTTTTTAGTTGCTACCAAGAAAAGCTGCAGCAGAACTTGGGAACAAACTGTTTCAACTCTACCAGGTTCCTTAATAACAGCTCTATAGGAGGGTAACTATCAACTCATCTGTGGCACACATCTTATAACACATTTAACTGTTTCAGGTGTCAAGGAAGAATATGCATCAAAAGTGTGCTTCAATGCTCAGTATCAGGCAAATTTGTTGGTTGATGGGTATGGCATTAAAGAAAACACTTGGCAAAATATTGACTTTCTGAAAAAGGTAAAAAGTCTGATAATAAAATAAGGGTTGCCATAAATTGTTTTCCAGACCACCACTAATTATGTGTCTGTAAATTTTACCAGGTCAACAACACCAGTGTAGGATGGACACTAGGCTTCACAATACAAAGTACCAATGCTTTTCCAGAGGAGCAAGCTGAAGAACCTTTCTCTGCAACTATTTTTGTGTCACTTATGTTTATCATTGCAGTTGGTATAGGTGTGTGTTTAACTTTAACTGTTATCAATCTCATAAAACATTGCTGTAAGAAAAATCAAATCAGTGTAAAATAAAACTTTCTTTTTCAAGTTAGGGGTGTCTTTACTTTCTTTTCAAAGATTGAAAATGTATCAATATTTTCTTAAATCACTTATTTAAAAAAAATTCAAACATTTAATAGCTCAGGTGATTGAAAGCTGTTGAACAAGAATAGGCATAAAAAACCAATGAAGAACAAAATTTACGAGTGAATAGGAAGCATGCAGAGATTTCCTTACTAATAAGAAACACATTTAGATGATTGGCCAATAAGTCCTGGAACCTATGATTAAACAAACAAAGCATTACTCAAATTTGAGAACATAACACATTGCAATTTCCTTGGACTTACATTTAAATGTAAATAAAAAATGAAAAGGAAAAAAATACAAATGTAATTAAATAGTTTCAGATGTAATGTAAACATAGCATGCTGCTGAAATTCATGTCACTTACTGACTCAACTTCTAAAGATTAACCAGTATTGTACACAAAAAGAGTTAATAAGAGAGAAATGAATTTAAAAGCAATGAGTAAAATAGAGAAACACAGCGGTGCTTGATTTTCGACGAGAGAATTTACAGAACAACATTTAGCATGATTAGGATCAGATTTTTGGTTGATAATCAGAGAATTAATAGAATGTTATCACTGACAACTTAGTGAATACCTACGCATTACATGAACGTAAGTTTGCCATAGGTTTTTCATCGACATGAATATTATTAAAAATTCTAAAATTTGATAGTATACATATCTAACAAGGTGTTTCACAGAGTAGTAACTTAAATAACGTGCATTAGGAAAGCAGAATCACTAGTTACTAAAAAAGTACATGCCAGCAAGAATTGGGTAAAAAAATAATCGCATTACTAAAATGTTAAGAGGCAAATAAATGCAGTAAAAGAATTCACAAAGCTCACAAACCATGCAATTAGGAGCAAACACTTCCTGCTGAAAAAATATAGATAACAAGAAGAAAAGTACATCAGAACGACTTGTTAATTCTATAGGACACTATCACTTATGATTATCTGATTCATTCAAACAGATTTTGGATCAATTTCATAGAGGAAGAAAGTATGAAATTTATGTAAGCCAGGTTAGGCATTGAACAAAGGAACAATGATAGATTAATTGATACATTTGTTTAAGTAATAGTTATACCCCTGATAGATAGCAAAATGAAAATAAGTCACCTGAGCCAAAATAGATATTTAACACAATGAGATTTTTCAGAATAAAAATATTGAAAGAGAGAGGGGAAAAAAACTTGATTCAAGCTGAAAGTGGATTCTGACGTACATCAAATGGGACAGAACGAATCTGACCAGAGCAATGGCCATAGCGCTTGCGGCCAGTAGAAGATCTCATTGACTTCAGAGTAGTCATTGTGGCAACCTGAGGAGGGTTTTCGTTTTTCGGACAGTACTTAACAGTATGAGCACTCGTCCCTGCAATAAAAATGACTCTAATTTAGTGGAAGTTAACTTAAGTGTACAAAAAGAAAGATGAAGAAGCAATAACTTGATACTGACCAGTAGCGCCACAAAGTGGGCAAATATACCGCTGTAGAACTTGGCAAACAGTGCGGCCTCTTTCGTCCTTAAGCACGTGACTCCTGTACATTGCTGGAGTCTCTCCATTAGTTTTGCACAGGACACATTCATTAAATTTCGCACGTCCTCCGCTGCTGCTGCTACTAATGCTGTAGGCCTTTCGACTCCTGCGTGGGGGTTGAGGAGGCAATAAGTTGTCATCCTCAGAATCACTTCGCTTGGAAAACATCTTGTCTGGAAATAGAAAATTAATTATTCAGTAACTAAATGTGAAGTGGTTTTGAACAATAATTGATAAACTACTGAACACAAGAGGAAAACTGACATTTCATTAAATCGGAAGAGGAGTAATTTATTGATTCCTTATGCACTGAAGAGTTAGAGGACAGACTACTGCCATCTGACTTGGTACCATCCATCCAAAATGGAGCTCCTAAAACAATAAAAAGACACTGAGCAGTGGACACAGTTGACCAACGGACAGACATGTAACGAGGAATACACATGCCCATACCTGAGAAAGTATGAGGTGAAGTGTAAGATCTGAATTTATGATGAGGTAAAGAAGGATACCCATATCTGGCATCATTAACTCCAGATGGCACCTGTCTAAATCCCTTAGGCATTGTTACATTCTTGTTGGGAAATCTCTTCTTTTTGCTATGGTGAAATCCTTGAGTTTTCTTCCCCGGATTATTATTCTTAACAATAGTTGGCTTCAAAACAGAGGAATTTTGAGCTTTCGACAGTGTTTGATGGTGGATGTTATGCACTCCAGATGTCATATTTGGCTTAGGTTGAACCGCCTGATGTTGCTTGACCGGAACGTTCGCCTCTGCCAGAGCTAGGTCAGCCAGCTTGATGGCTAACTGTCCAATCGTCTCATCTTCAAGGCAAAATTTTTCAGACAAGGTGCTATAAAATCCATTATTTTTAGAGACATATATATCTTCAGTGTCCTCCAACAGCTGATTGAGAAATGCAACTTGACCACTACTAGACTGAGAATCATCTGAGAACAGTTCATACTTAGAGGTGTTCTTCAGTTGTTCTTGATTCACTGACTCGGGAATCAATGGGGAACACTTAGTTCCAAAATTGTGTGATTGATTCATCATGAACGGTGTATAAAAAGACTGAAATCCATTGACAACTGGTTCAGCTGCTCCCACAGATTCATGCTTATACTGATCAGAGGTCATGAGCTTGTTTGAAGAATTTCCACCACCATAATGAAAATAATGCTGGGACTTCTTTCTGTACGTTTCCGTCCAGAATGAACTAGCCATGATGAGAATCTACAGGGGATAACACAAATTTGAATAAAAGTGGAGCCATGATTAGCCACACAAAAGTAGGGAAATACTGTGAGTTTTCACTAAGGGCAAAAAATACACAGATGAATTGACAATGTGTGAGAAATAATAATTATTACAGGGAAAGGCTTGGAACAGGAAGAAAAGACACTTTTAACAACAATTGTTATCATTTAAACTGAGGAGGGAGTCTGCAAATATGCAGGCACGTAGGGCTCATTATAAAGGGTGAATTTTGAACTATTCGCTTCAGCACTAGTGTCCGCGACAAATCCACAACAAAAATGAGTAACGCCATGTCTCAACTAACGGGGAGATAAAAGATACGGTTAGTAAAAATAAGTCACTTGCCAGTCAGTTCCATTCGGTTTCACCAGATTCCTCAAAACGGTCCAACAGCCCTGCCCTGGCCGTATCTCGCCGGTGACAACTTCAACCCCAACGGCAGCAGCGAGTGTCCGTCGATTCCTGGAAATCTTACTGGGGTGGGGGTTGCCGCCGAAGCGAAGACGGGAGGGAGCACCAGGGCTGCCAACTAAAGTCACAATAGGCAAGACCCCAAGTTCGTAAACGAAGCTCAATTAACCCGTAAAACAGCAACGATATAAGAAGACAATTAATTTACAAGGCATACGCCTTTTCTATAAAAGACACTTCAAAGCCATGTTCTAAGTAACAATAATTGTTAAAAAAACAAAAAAAACACGTCGATTGCGCACTGACTTAAATGTATTCATCCGCCATGCCTAAAAGAGCGCCAAAATAATCCACGAAATTGTAATTAACTTTTGAAATTAAAGTTCCTGATCCTAGATTTTCATTGAACCTCCAAAGATGGTATAACCAATTAGCAAATAGCAAAATTGTTTCTCGAGAATCAACAACTTGAAAATAATGCAAATTACATCACAGTATTAATTGGACAGAATTCTCAAAATTTGAGTATTTAAAAAACGTGCATGTTATCAGAATCACTTACCTGTGAATTTCAAAATAGTTCACAAAAATTTAGTACTGATATGTTTCCCCCACACCTGCCTTGGCTCTACATGTTTCAAAGCAACTCGGCCTCAGTTGAATATCTTCTTGCCTTTTACCCCCGAGTAACCTGAAGAAAATCAGCTGGTAAGGTGTACAGGACCATTAACTACAATAATGCAAAACTCAACCTACATTTGATAATATTTATTTGACACTTCCAAATTCACATGAAAATTGTTCCAGATAATTATCTTTTCTGTGGCAGAAGTATGTGCAAAATTTCGGAATTTAGAATGAACTTTGGAATGTCAACTACTTGTCCCAGGGCCCTGCATCATTACAATACATGTTCAAATTTAATGAACATTCCTCTTACAGGGTTGGACATGCTACACCAAACTAAAATCAAATTGAATTGAAACAAGACAGCTCACGCTTGAAACTTTGGTGCTGCTTCAAAACAAGAAGGCTTGTCAAATGTTTAAGTGCACTTCAAAGATAACATATAATTTGATGTGTCTTGGAAAAAAAAAAAATTGGTTTTCATAAAATGAAAACACATTGAAAACTGCATGCCCCACGGAACAGATGTCAATCCAAACAAAACTACCTGAAAACAAGTACATATGGCTTCATCATTTTGCCACTGTTGCAATTTGCCACTTTTAAAATCAAAGAAAGGGACTGTTTTAACGATTTGTCAAACGAAAACGTTCAGTTGAGCATGGCTTACAAAGCAGTCATAAATTATTTTCACAAAAATTTGTTCAGTACAGTCATGTTTATTTAATGTTAAGAGCCATTCTACTGACCAAAAAGAAACTTTGGTTTGGCTAAAGGGGAGGAGAGAAACAAAACCTACCTCTACAGGTAAAAATTAGTTCAATGAACTTTTTATAGTATGGTGTCACACACTTTCTACCAATCCGACCAAAATTTCTTCCAACAGAATTCTTTCAGAAAAAGTAGAATTGATTGAATATTTTTGAGATTACTGAATGAATAAAATTTACAACACAGATGAGAAAACCAAAACGTTTTTTTAAGTAAAAGCTCAATATATGTTTGATTGCTCCAACAGCACAAATCAGAACTGTGAACAATAGAAAACGTTGAAGATGACAAAAAGGTCAAACAATCAAGAAAGAAAGTAAAAATAAATAACGAGAAATTAAATCCACAAAAACTATCAACCTCCAACAGGAAGTCCAGGAACTAGAGCAGGTTGAAAGGATATACAAAAATAACCATTCTCAGAACATTTACTGGACCTTTAACTACCTTTGGTAAAGTTTTAAAACTATAATGCTATGTTGCGAAAATTATAAAGTACCTCTGTGCCTAGGCAAAACTAATGAGTCGAGTCAAATAACCGTGAGTAATTTTGAACAATATCGAGCAAATAAACTACACTTTTTTGAAAGCTTTTACAAAAAAAACAGAATGTTGAAGTTATTTTGATTTTTTTTCCTACCTGGGGAGTCATGCGGATCTAGACAAGCCAAAAAACCCAAAGAAACTAACAGCAATAAGAAATTTTGTCGTTCCAATTTCCTTGTCAAATTTTTGACTGTTAAGTTACAAGAACTAGATGGAGAGGAGCTGAGCAAAAAAATAAACCTTCTAAATTCTTCGACAACAAGTAAGTGGGCAAAAAAATTGTTGACAACTGAAAGCCCCCAAAAAACAGCTAAAAACCAGTTTGAAATGTAAACATGACGAACTTGAGGCGGTTTGAGAATTACGTAGAAACAGAGAATTTCACAATTTATATAAATCCTCAGTGGTAGATACTAGGCTGATGTTAAACTCTTAACAATTGCAAACATTTTATACTTTTAAGTACAGTGTAACAGAACATGTGAAATTAAACAAGGGGGCAAACAGAACTAAAATAAAAAGTAATTCTTTTTGTTTATAAGGTTGAACTAGAAAATTGCAGTTGGAAAGGGCAATATGATGGCACATATGAAAATTATACCATGCTGCTTTAAAGAATTCCCTGCTTCTTGCGTTAGTGTATTGATAGGGCGGGTATGGCCCAAAATTTTATACCCTCACCAGCCGAAGGTCTCGACTGAAAAAGCGCAGGCAGCATAGGGATTTTAACGGCGCCCAATCGAGACCTTAAACTGGTCTCACTATAGCCCGCCCGAAGCTGTTTTGGATGGGGTCGGGCTGAAATTTTCGGCCATACCCGCCCTATCGAAAACACCATCTTGCATGCTTTAGTATTTAACCACAATAAGAGAAAAGCAGAAACAGAGTGAGGATATATCATCCTCCCTCATAGAATCTGTGAAATGCATAAGCTCTCACACTGAGTGTATGTATATTTGCCGGAACATTGGCACATAGACATACGTAAAGTAAAAGATTGATCAATTAGGCACTTACATATGGAACAATATTAACTCTTCAATTCAAGTCTACTCTGTTCTGCCATATGAAGAGCCTTGGTTTCTCCAATGGGAGGGGATGATGAATGCCAAGAAATATTAGTTAGAAAAGGCAAGAGAAACAAAATATCATCAGCTATAAAATAAAAAGTACTGTCTCTGATTCTGAAATGGTGGGTGGGTTGGATATCTTTGCTTTCCCAACCAGGTGCAAGCAAGCCCATGTCCCATGTTTTAAGAAAGATCCTATATTAGATAGGCACAAAACACTAGAGCTGGAAAGAAATATTTATATCCTTGGGTACCATCTGATGTAAATTTTAAAATCTTCATTAAATATCTAAGCATTTCTTATTAAATTATTGCTATCTCTCACCACTACAGTAACCTAATCTCAATACACAAAACATAGTGGTTTGAGTTGTTACTGTGGTTAAAGTGAAAAGCATAATAGGCAGATTAAATCTGCTCTTACATTTTTTTTTATTGTTTTTTAAAAAAATTGGTACAGATGTACTCATGGCTAATATATTCATCACTTGTTTCGACAAATTGTTAGATAGCCAACTAAAGTGACTACTCACTCCTTCACAAGAAAGATACTATACAATGATATTGCCCTTTTCTTTGGATATTGAGTTCTGCCAAAAGAGGCTGACTAATATAGCAGCCATTCGTCCCAGTTAAAATAGCTACTGTTGTACAGTACCAAAAGATATATGAGAATTTTGACAAGATTAGTAAGATGCCTGAGCTTATTAACAAAAGCACTTTATAAATAATAAAAACAAAATTCCTGAAAGTTAGAAAGCTTCTGCAATACCCATAATGAACAAACAAATAGCTGTTGCTGAACCACAGGACTACGGAAAACCATCCTAAAAGAAAGGTTGGTTGTATTGTCCTGATGTTTCAGTTGGTGTCACTCAGTTATAAATCTACACAGCATGCTTAAACATTCAGCTGGAGAAAAACTATCTGCTATGAAGTTTAAAAATAAATAATACTACAATCAGATTTGTTAGAATTTCTTTGCTTTGTATGAAATTGACAAGAACTCACAATACTTCATTGTGCTTAAAGTTACCATTAGATCCACACAAATACACAAGTCTATGGAATAATTTTTTTGAAAGTGCAGTAATGGTACACAAGAATTTCTGTAATAGATAGAAAATTAATCAGCAAACTTACTTTTACCCATCCTAAGGGTAAATATATACTAAAGAAAACAATGTTCATCTTTATTTTATTTTTTTAAACTTGCACAAAATTCTATCTATTTTTTTTTCTTTTAGAAGTTTCCAATACTCACTGCCTTAATAAGTTTAACAGAGTGAACATTCTGGTGCACACGACTGGAGGTAACCATGTTTAATATTGCAACATCAAATTGGTCCAAAAGCTCATAGAAGTTTTTGAATAATTTTTAAAAGGATAGTAAAAGTAGTTCCATAAATTAAAAACAGAGATTATAAGGTTCAAACACAACTTGTTACAGTTCTTTGAACTCTTTCTGGACTTAAACAGTATCCCAAATAAAGAAGATCGCAAAGAACGTTTTACACAGAAAACTGTTCAGTAAGGAACACTAGATCCAAATTCAGAGCTTGGAACATCAAATCAGATACATACATCAATGCTACAAAATGAATCAAATCATTTTGTAAATGAAGAAACTTCAGTTTTGATAAACAAAATTTGCATCTAGATATACCTCAGAGGTAAAAAAAAAAAAATAAGAAACAAAAGAAAGCATTTGTGAAAATGCTAAAGGGTCTAAATCTTCACTAGGAAGTACAACAAGAAAAGGGGAAGAGAGAGAGAAGAGGAACAACAAAACTTTGAGTAAGAGCAATGTTAATTAACCAAAAGGCACACTAATTATGTCATAGTCACATGCACTATGAACAAAGGGAGAAGAACAACAGTGTAATTAAGTGTGTAGCTTTTTTTTTACAATATATTTCACCACACACAAGTTTTATTTGCAACGCAAATTATTTTTTCTAAATATGCTTCCCTTGTTGTGCAAATTTGAGAAATGCACTACAATTTTAATCTTTTTTTTATCTATAACCAGACAACAGACCCAGACCAGCCTGCTGGTCTAATCCATGCTGCCATGACCACCATCCACTAGCACCATACACTACATTGACAACAAAAGATAACAATGCCTTACTGAGAGGTTTAAAAGCAACCTCACCAAAATAAACCATGTAAACTTTAGGAAAAGTTCACATTCTACATAAAAACTTTCTCCTTGAAACTCTGAAAGCAAAATTTATTTTCAGGCTCATTCGATCCTTCAAAAATATTTGAAAGGTATAGTTTTTGAATGATGTTTGAACAGAGGTACAGAAGTACAGAGGTTAAGTAAAAGCTTCATTGAAACTCTAGACTCTTCACAAGTGGTTCAAATGTAGAGTACCAGTGTTACAGTTGATGCAGGGTCTGTTGTAAATAAACCACAATTCAAATGTCAAACGACCCATATTGAGTTCTTCAATGAAATAGGATTTTTGAAAGAATGAGGAAAAGAAAGAGACCAACATACTCTTCACTAAGTATGTTGAAAAAAAAAAAAAAAAAAGAAAAAAAAAACGACTCCACAGAAGCACTAATTTACAATAGGGATATATCCCTGTTCTTGTAATGGAAAGCTTCAGGTTTGTAAACAAACAGTCTGATATCAGTAAAATAATGAACTGCAGTTTCTATTCAAAATAAAACAACTTGTCAGATGGGTAATAATAAAATTATTTTTCTTTTGCTGTTATAGACAACACCTGCAATAGTGATGAATGAAATAAAAGCAAAACAGAGCTGAGTTTGAATTTAAAAAGACAAAACCTGAAGCTTTCTTAGGCCCAAAGTACAACACAGGCCACATTAGAATTGTATCAGAATCATTAACAAAGCATCGCATTGTGTTTTTCAGAAGCTGCAGAGCTGTGGCAACAGATTCACAGGGTCACAGGGCGGCCACCATGGAGGAAAGGGCACTTCCCACCCTTGAGACAAGAAGCATCCGCCCAAAAGTGGCATGGGATGGAAGCCATGTCGTGAGAGAAGCGGCAATGTGGACGCCTGCAATTGCCCTCCAGGAACAAACTGCACACGCGTTGGCTTGACGAGTAGCGTCTGTCAAAAGAACAACATAATTAATATTAATTTGAAAGTTACCTCTAAATCAATGGAAAAGGCTATCACATGCAAAATGACTAGAAGTGAAACTTGTCAGTTCTCAGGCCTACTAAAAACCTTGGAGATGCTACATGCAGTGCTCAGAAAAAGGCCAAAGCAGGATATTGAAATCACCCCTAATAAGATATGTCATGTCAGACACCAAGGTTATCAATTTTGTTTTCACTGTACATTTCTTTTTGAAATAATATAAGGGAAAATATGAATTGAGTAATGGAAGACATCAATAGGTGAACTCATTCCACAGTACCTCTTTCTCTCCTTTTGAGCAGTTCCACTGTTTGATAAAGACCCTGTCTTCACAATTTTGTAGTTAATTGTATATTCAGCCATTTTCTGCAAAGGAATGTGCAACAAAGCATAAAGAGAAGGTAAACTACAAAACAAACCTTCTGCAATGAATTAAACAAATAAAGAATAGAAAAGAGTGCTTTGAATTCTGCCATGCTCCTTTCTACTAAAGTTGATTTTCTAACCCGTAGGGATTAACTAACAAATCTGTGCAAAATTAAAAGGCATGACCCACAGGCCAGCCACTAAACTAATATTAAGCGTGCACAGGGCACATGCACAATATTCAAATGAAGAAAAATAGATCACTTTGAACAAAGAAGCAAAGTACTTCACGTGTAGTTGATTTCCGCATAGTCATGTCACTTCTGTAAAATGGGTAGGCAGGAAACAAGTACTTACTTCTGGGTGGTCACATTTGTTGCCATTTATTTCGGTCAAGACTCCCCCATACTGATCAAGTAAAGAACTCAGGTCAGACAGGAGTTGCTCGCCATCTTCGCTCAGCTCACGGCGCAGTTGGCTCTTATGGGATTCAGGAGGTCGAGAGCAATCCAAGCATCCATTTCCATCACTCCAGATGTGGTACCTGAGCGAAGACAAGAAATTTTATAACATTTTAGACAGGACATCCTAAGACAGGCAGAAGAGAATAGGATAAGATCTTACCAGGACTGAGGTGAAGCCCTCTTTTCTTGCCAGTTTGATGGCCACCCTGGTATCCATGCAGGACCTGAGGCCTTCTCACTACAATTCCCATACATGGCTTGACAAATTTCTTCTTCTTCTGCTTCTAATGAGAGATGTTCATCACCAGGAAAATAAAACTCTTCACCAGTGAAATTATGCTTGCTGCTTGATTGTTGTGTGGTGTCCATTGACATCTCATCCTGCTCTGTTTGACAGCACTTCTCATTTTGACTGACACGGAATTTCGGAATAAAATCAATAGTATCTTCCAGGTTATTGTTTTCAGCAGAACTGTTTTTGTTAAATTCTTTCATTTTGAATTCCATGTATTTTGGTGGGGAGTCCATATCTGCTTCCTCTTCTAGATACAATGTTCCACTGTCACTTCTAGTAAATGCGATGCGGTCCAAACTTGTAGGGATTGCAAAGGTAGTGCCATCAGCATAATTTGTGATCTGCTGATGATGTTGACGAGGAGCTTGTTCTTGTCGTATAGGAATGAAGTGTGTGCGAGCTGATGTCAAAAGATCCTCCTCTTCTTTTCCAGATTCTGGCTGTACAGGTGGAGGAGGTGGAAGTGGTTGAGCAACAGGAACAAGTGGCTGAGCTTCACGGTTCAAATTAAGTGTCCTTGGTATAACCTCTGTAAAGCTGCTGTCTTCACGGTTATGATTAAGAGCCACTAGACTGTCAAAGCAAGGATTTGCCTCACCTTCAGACCATTTCACATTGAGTGGCATGCTCCACTCCTCACGAAGTGGTTCTTCAGGGGATGGCCGGCTGGACCAGATGGAACTTGTAATATTGGTGCCACAAGCTATGAAGAGGTTCTGCTTGCTACCGTGCATGTCCATGGGAATCGGAGACACTGTCAAATGATCATCACTCTCCTCATCTCGCAAGTCTTCAACCATTTCAGAGACATCCTCGGGATTCCAAAGTGCCTCAATACTGCTATCAAACTTTGCAATGAGTCGGGCTAAGTTTCGGTCTTCAGGTTTCGGTATTGATGATGAGTCCGAATCGTTGGTCTCTTCATACAGGGAGTCCATGTCACAGGGTCCGCTTGAAGGTTCTGTGCGATGCATATTAATGTCACCAGCCTCTTTGGCTGCACATTGTGTGAAGGCGAGGTAGAGATCTCGTCGGCACTTTGGGGCTGAGTCTTCCTCCATCATGGCCTGCAAATCAAGCTCCACTTTCAGGTGCCCCCATCCAGGTGATTCAGTAGGTGTTAGCTTGGATAAGCCACGCCACCTGTAAGTGAATTACAGATAGGTATAAAAATGGAGTATTGAAAAAAACATCTTTTGACATCATGTTGAATATAATGACTTACTTTGTATCAGATGGAGGATAGCACACTTCCTGCAGCTCTGGCACTTGAGTCTCCATTTCACCTGTTAATGACTACTCGGTTAACACTCTTTAAAAATATTATAACAAGCAAAAGTAATTGATTGACAAACACTGACCTTCACAATTTGCCACACTGAATTTCATGGGTAAAGAATTCAGTAAATCAACTCCATATTTCTATTTCAAAACAAATTAGAAAGTGGAAAAAAATGAATTTAGCGGTTGCAAAAGTTGTCACATTAACTAAATTTATTTGAATAAAACAACTTACAAAATGGAGTTGATACTTATTCTCCAGACCTGTGACAAAAGGTCCCTGAAACCAACTATCAACCAGCTGCACACACTTCATGCTATGCTGCTCCTGATAAGGTAAAATTAGACATTGTCTCATTATCGAAGGCCATAACATTAGACAGCAGCAGTGGGTAAATTTCAATAATTTATGCTCACCTCAGCAGAGAGTAAGCAGTTGAGGAGGAGAGCCGAGTTCACGAGAAGTGCGCAGTTGAGGGGAGCAGCAGCCAAATTGAACAGTCCGATGAGTGGGTGTGCACCCTTGAGTGTGCGCTGAGCGCGGGTTGCAACACCCGTTTCTCTTACTCATCATTGCCACAGAATCTGGTATTCGTTTTCAAAACATTCTGTTTGATTTTTTCAAAAAAAAATGTAATGATGAGCATCGCCTTTTTAAGCTTGATTGGTAGTAGATAGTAAGAGGGTTTAGTAAAAGATATTTGTGATAGTTCAAATTAGGCTGGAGATTGACTTTTCTTTCAGATTGAAATGTGTAAAAGTTGCTGGTCAAACTTGGAGGGGAAGCTTTTCAGTTGTGCTCATAAAATAAAATGTTGCAGGAAATTATACCCATGGTATGTGTGTGTTTGCTACCAAGATGCAGCAAAATGCCACCACCCCATCCTTCAGCTGAAAACAAAACAGACAAAACCATTATTACACCTAACCTCAGTGCAAATCAAACATGTTAGATTCAATAAAACAAATTCCATTAAAAATTTTCAGACAATTTTTTTCTATAACATATGAATGGGAAGACAATGAAAGTAAATCCTTCAGTTTTCTCGCACATTTCTATTACATTAACCCCCAGAAATAGTATTAACTCCAAGGTTATGATTTGACACACTGTCTTCAAGAAATATAAAACTAATACGTTCAAAATTAAAAACTTAACTGGAAAAGGGTGATCCAAATTCATTGATTGGTTAATGAGATAGTTTTTCAAGGGGAAACAAAGATTCTGGCATTCTTCCAAGATGACATTGTTTTTGGAAGGAGGCCATTAGCCAAGACATATAACCCAAGTACTTGTTATAAAGGAACCGTACGAAAAATGCAGTTTGAGACTACATAGGGCAGACGATGTGCCTCCCAGAATTGCGATAGAATTAATCAATCACATTATTATTGATTGAAAGAGTAAACAAGATGACAATTGACTGCAAACGAAAACTGACAAGGAACATAGCTTCATAATATTGCGAAACAATCCTAGCCACGTGATGAAACCAAAGCACAAATTAATTAAGGTGACGAGTAAATAAGGAATTTACTCTAACGAAGAATCTTGTCCAAAATTGACAAGGCAATTTGTTTTGACAGTAAAGGGGAAGAATTTACTGAACGATTACGAAACGTCTCTACTGACGGGACTCACACCCTTTTTCACTCAACAGCTACGGACTTATGGCAGTAGTAGATTTCATTCCGTCATGTTACTAGTAGATTTTCACGAAGAGTACTCACCGAATATTTAAGAAGGGATGACGAAACACACACATCTACTACTACAAAAAAGCTTGCTTAAAAAAACATGTCACCTACGATGGCGGCTCGCCGCCTTTTCTCTCTGTGGAATCGTTTTGTTGTCGCATTGAGAGCTTGGAAGGAAAAGGGAACGCACCCTGAACTGACGCTGTTCAACAGTATGACCCATATTTGAACTACGTTGAATATGGAACACACCCGGTAGTTTATGACGACGATTCGATTCGAGTCAATTTGATTCGAACTAGTTGGTTATTTGGTTATTTATTTATTTACTTCGTCTCTTGGAAGACGGTGTGTCAACCAGTGCCCAGTGTTCTCATTTGTAACAATTCCAACCGTACGGAGGTCGTCGGGCTGCACTTCGAATATATGTCAAGGCACGTTTCATTCATTTCCCGGCTAAAACACCAACCGAGCCGTGTGTACTAAAATGATTTTTTATGTTCAATATTTTGTCACCTATGGGGATATACTTTGGTCGTACTATTGAAGGACAATGCGTTTTAGTGGTTCTAGGTAACTGTTATCGTATGGTTCATCTTCTACATAGTTTTCTTCTGTGCGAAAATACTTAGGTTACACTCACTTGTTAATGTTTATTAAACTTATGAATGATTGAGAAGAGTCGAGTCAAAATGCATCTACCTACCCTACTCTTCTTTCTGATCTTCTGAGATTTGGTCTTTTTTGAAGTGTTATTTCAGAGTTCAAGGAAAGCCTAGTTCATGTTACTTTACTCAAACAGATAACGCACGATGGATGGAACAGTAATGGATACCACAGGGCCTCCTGTCAGTGGAATTTGCGTTCAAGCTTGTCCGAGCCTAGACACAAGACATTTGACGCCAGATGTTCAAATTAAAATGAATCTGAGCCCTGAAGCAAGAAGTATGATATCTAATACTCAAACCAAAATGAGTCCTGACTGCAGAGTCCAACGAGCCGATTTAAAAAGAACTTTAGATTCTAATGGTAAGTTTTCTGCATTTGTCTTTGTTAAGGCTGTCATGTTAGGATTTTCCACATTTCTTTAACACTATTTGTTTTGCACATCAGCTTTGCCCCCACCTAAGAAAAGGCGGAAAAAGAATGTTTCGGGTTCAAGCAAGATTCATACTCCAAAAAATGCTGTATGTACTCTAAATGAAATCAGTCCAGGGTTAGTATATACTTTTGTGTCTCAGCAAGGTCCTGTGCATTTGCCAACTTTTACAGTTAGTGTTGAGGTAAGGAGATATGCTGATTTTGATGTTTGTGTTTTTACTATTATTTTAATGATTCTCTGTTCATTTAATTCTATCTGAATTTCTTGTGGATCTATCTTAGCTGAATGGTGAAACATACGAAGGGCAGGGAAGAACTAAAAAGCAAGCGAAACATGATGCTGCAATGAAAGCATTACGCTCATTTGTGCAGTATCCAGATGCATATGAAGCGCACAGAGTATTAAACAACTGTGGAAAAGATGTAGATTTTTCCAGTGATATAGCTGTTGGAGACCCATCATTTTTTAATGTGTTTAATTCAAACACAACCCCTCCACATAAGGACATTATTGTAAACTTGACTTCTCTGCTTCTGCTCCTCTCTTATGCTTTATCAGTGATTGTGTACTTACGTACTTTCTTTTTTATTACTCAGGCTAGTAGTTCATGTTCTGCTCAACCAAAGGCAGTATTGCATGATACTGGTTCAAATGGGGCAGTTCAGAGTGCTGCAATGCACCCTCTTCTCCTAAATTCAAAACGTAACCCAGGAGCACTCGAAAAAACTCCTGTAGGCCTACTTAATGAATTAAAGCCGGGGCTGGATTTTCGATGTATCAGTGAAAAGGGAGAGCAGTACAATAAATTTGTTATGGAAGTTATAGTAGATAATGAACGTTTTGAGGGATCAGGTAATCTTTTTTCATACTACTTTTACTCACTGAAAATGTTAGATTTGTTTTACCCCAAGTACCCTCATTACTTAAATTTGGAAAAATGTTTAGTTGTATTTGATTATTCATCTCTGTGCTTCCACTTTTATATTACAGGTCCAAGCAAAAAATTGGCAAAAACTGCTGCAGCAAAGGCTGTTCTTGCAAAAATTTTCAGCATATCATACTCCCCTCTCAGCAACAGAGCCACACCCTCCTCATCAGCTGCAACTGATGAAAGTATAACATTACCACAAATCCTTGCAGACCACATTGGGAGGTATGTGACTATTATTTACAAAAATTTCTTTTTGTTTTTTAAATCAATGAATTGAAGTTAGCTCATCCAATTTTCATTTATATAAACCATTCACAGTTTCATTTAAACCTGTTTCCTTGTTCTTGCTTAGATTGGTTTTGGCCAAATTTGCTAAACTTGTTGAAAACAACACCACTCACTCTCGGCGGAAAGTATTGTCAGGATTTGTGATGACCACTGGACCTGCAATGGAAGATGCTCATATTATATCAGTAACGACAGGCACTAAATGTATAAGTGGTGAGCACATGAGTGTCAAAGGAGCTGCTCTAAATGATACGCATGCTGAAATAGTAGGAAGAAGATGTTTAGTTGATTATATGTATTCTCAACTTGAATTGCTGTTGTCAGGGGGTAGGTTCCTACTAGTTTTGCAAACGAGAAGTGGTTATTCCCATTTCTGTCTCACTAGCATTAAATTCCAACATCTTTTCCAGATCAGGGAGCATCAAATTCTATATTTGTGCAGAAACCTGATGGAAATGGTTATCAGTTGAGAGAGAATGTCCGCTTTCATTTATATATCAACACTGCACCTTGTGGGGATGCAAGGTATTGGAAGTAACATGTTACTTGTGATGTGACCAGTCCATATGAATCTAATGCGTTGTGTTTTTGGCAGAATATTTTCCCCACATGAAGCTGAAACTGAAGAGGAAGCAGTCGACAAACACCCAAATCGCAAAGCAAGGGGTCTTCTTCGCACCAAGATAGAATCTGGGGAAGGAACAATACCTGTTAATCAAAATACTGGAATTCAAACTTGGGATGGCGTCTTACAGGTATTATTTTGGGTCATATGTGTTTCCTTCACGTTTGTTAGAAAAATGTTTTTTGATGTTCAGATTTTAGACATTTTTATATGTATGTTACGGTAAAATCCCGGTCAACGGCAAATCCGGGGTTTGACCGGCCAGAGCTAGGTTTTACTGATGCGGTTTGGTAAAAGCCTAATGTAGGATGGTGGATCCGGGGTTTGACCGGTAATATTGGTATAATTGGGCTTTTACCTTGCCCCAAACAGTACATGGTGTACCAGATGATTTTTGTTTTCAATTTTTAAGAATTATTCTCCAGAATTTGTATTGGCCCACTTATTACTAGGGTGGCACTTGGAAAAACAGAGCAGCCTCCTGGCCATTTACTGTATTTCTTGCAGTCTTTCTGGCAAAGGTACTTCGTGAAGCCCTACCTGACCTGGAAGTACTTCACACTCATAGACTTGAATTATTTTTGGTAGGAAAACCTAGGCAGAGCCAAATGCCAGGGCGGTCCAGAGGCAGAAAAAGGGTATGTGCCTCTGCAAACCGAAGTGCCAAAAATGTCCTTAACAAAATTAAACATTTTTTTTTGAACAAAAATTATTTGGGTACAGCATTATCCGTTTTGGGCATGGTTAAAGCACGATCATACCAATATTAACAGTCAAAACCTGGATTCACCACCCATAGGGCTTTCACCAAACCGCCTTGGTAAAACCTAGCTGTGGCCGGTCAAACCCCGGATTTGCCATTCTCTGGGCTTTTACAGTAACATGTTCATGACTTTTCATGTCTCTAACCTTACATACACCTCTAAAATAATAATAATAATAATAAGATTGATACTCTTTAGGGTGAACGGCTGTTGACAATGTCATGCTCTGACAAGGTAGCACGATGGAATGTTTTGGGTGTTCAAGGTGCTTTACTTGCACACTTCATTGAACCTATTTATTTAGAAAGCATTGTTCTTGGAAGTCTCTTCCATCCTAGCCACCTGTACAGGTACCAGGTTCAGCTTATTATTCCTTAAGTAACATACATACATGTAGTATTTTTTTTGTACAGTGTTACCTTTTTTTTTAAGGGCGGTTTGTGGAAGGATTGAAAACAGCATAGAAGGGCTTCCTCCTCCTTATCGGCTCAACAAACCTTTACTTAGTCTGACAAGTTCTCGAGAAGTCAGGCAACCTACTAAGGCACCAAGCCATAGCCTGAATTGGACATCTGGTATGCATTAGATTTAGTTGTCATGTGCTTCAAATACTATGGGATTGTACTTGACAATGCTTAGTGTAAAACCATTTATTTATCTACAGGTCAACCAAATTCGGAGATAATAAATTCAGTTACAGGCAAAGATGAGCATGGTACAGCTTCACGAATTAGTAAAAGGAAACTTTTTCAGAGATTTCTTCAGCTGGTTGGCCGTATTTCTACCCGAACAAGAATCACACCTGACAACTGCCCAACAGTATATGCTGACGCTAAAATGGCTGTTGAAGATTACCAGGTACATAGATGGTCGAATTTGAGCTGATTTTGAACAATATTTTATTCTTTCATACTACCCCTTTTTGGGGTAACTTCTAGAGT